TTCTCTTCTCCCCACTGTCTCCTCTCCTCTCCTCCTCACTGTATATTTTCTTCTCTTCTCCTCTCCTCTCATCCTCACTGTCTATTTCTCTTCTCCCCACTGTCTCCTCTCCTCTCTTCTCCTCTCATCCTCACTGTCTATTCTCTTCTCCCCACTGTCTCCTCTCCTCTCTTCTCCTCTCCTCCTCACTGTCTATTCTCTTCTCCCCACTGTCTCCTCTCCTCTCCTCCTCACTGTATACTCTTCTCCTCCCTGTGTTCTGTCCTGGCCTCACTGTCTCCTCTTCCGTATCCTTTCCTTACTCTTTCCTTTCCTCCTCACTGTCTATTCTCTCTCGTCTCTTTTTTATTCTCTTTACTGTCTCCTCTTCTCTCATGGAGTAGAGAAGTTGATCGAGGGTTTGAAGTCTCCAGAGCCCTCTTCTTCCTTGATTCTCCCTGACCTTCTCTTGAATGACCCCTTCAGCCCTGCAGACTGTAGTCATGGTAACCAGCCACTTGTCTTTTTATTGTTGTTTTTTTGGCTATAACCCCACAACCGATACATAGTGTTATTGGCCTTCATTGGTCTCCGTTGGTCTTTTAATGTTGATTGTTTTCTCAGTCCAGCTCAGAGTAACACCCGGAACTCCTGGACGTCCCTAATCGTCCCATTTAATGCCTACTCCTTCTTGTCTGTCCTGTACTTACAACCTCACTCGCAGTCTCATCTCTCCACCTGTATAATTGCTGTAAAGTTTGTCTTCATTGTATATATTTAAAAGATCTGGTTTAGAGAGTGCTACTTCATGCATGGTGTGAATTAATGTCACCATGGCCATCTCTCTCACCTGTACCTTTGCTACACAAAGCATCATATTTGCCCATTTTCTTTTTATATTTCTGCAGCTGGGATGGATTCTCTGATCCCTGGTCTGGATCCTCTACAGACTGATCCTGGGTCAGCTGCACTACCAGGTCAGCAGTTCTGTAAATGTGATTCTATTCTTTATCATACAGCGGCTCACTGAAGCATTGAATCTGCTGACATTAGGCTGGGAAAATCTGCAAGGTGTTCTGGATGACATAATTACTGCCAGTTATGAACCTCCGTAGCTGCACAATAAGTAGGCAGCATGGCTGTTAGAATGAAACAAGTTTCCTGTAAAATGGTTATGGTTTTAAACAAACCCTTTACTCTAAGTATTGCACTTTAGTGCAGACCACTACTGAAGCAGAATGTGTTGTCGCATGGTGCTTGATAGATCACAGGTTAGTGATCACTGAATAAGGCATAGCATGTTATCATTTTATTGAGATTGCTTTGGCACATTTCCTGCTCTATTTCAGCCATCAGCTATTAGATTTACTACATTTTCTATGTGCCAGGATACAGCAAGTCCTTTATTCAACATAGTGTTCTTGAAAAAGAGAATCAATAACAGCAGTAAGTCTGTCCACTGATGAAAACAAGCTGATAGGTTCTGCACAATAAGCACATGACCTCACCTAGCAGTGATATAACTTGTCATCGCTTGTTGATGATAACATGTGGAGGGGTTTGGCTGAATGATGAGTACTTAATTATGTTGGCAGTAAAACGATAGAACCAATGGCACATTGTTGGTCACACTAGGGTGATGACCTACCGAATATTTATTTAAAAGCTACAAAGTGCTGAGTCACCTTTCCTGAAATTGATGCATGCAATCCAAGTTGGACTGTGTTATTTTGTCTGTTTATATTGTCAGTAGAGCCACCTGGTGACCAAACAGCCAACTACATCCCAGTGTGTATCACGTAACTTCATTGGTTATGAGTCTCCTATATTGTGGGCCAGTTGGCTTTACTTAGTAGTTATTTGTTTCATTTACATGCATAATTAGATATTTTCACTGATATCATCGTGGCCCCCAAAAACTATTTTGAAACTTGGTAGCATTTATTTAGTAGCCATTATTTTTGACTAGAATATACAGTAGTCTTACATTTTCTTTTTACTGAATAATGGGAAATTTGGTAACAGTTGGATGAATAAATAAGGCTGTACACACGTGATATTGACTAGTGTCTGTGAATATGAAACCACACAATGACTGCTATTTATTCAGATATGAAGTCTGCATGTTCTGCGTGAAAGTAAATGTTCAAATTTAATTTACAGTGTTAAATCATAAAACACAGAATCCAGACAAAAAATACAACGGATAATAAAAATAAAACAAATTTCATAGATTAATTGCTCTAAACACGCCAACATTTTATGAGTGTGTGCAGTGTCTTTTTACTAAACTGTTGCTCCACTATGACAGTAGCTGACCTGAAAGAGAGTACTGACCAAAAAATAAAGACTACAGCAGATATTTGTGTTTGTTTTGGCACATTCAGTACACAACATCATGTAAAATCACACTTTCGGAGAGTATTGTGGGCCTTTTTCACTTCTACTGCAGAGCTTCTCTCTTAGTTCTCACTGTCACTTTCTCCTCGTCCTTTCTCTCTTCATATTTCCTTTTATCTGTCACATCTAAACTTTGTGGATGTCTTTTTGTTCAGCAATCTCTCTATTCTCAATATTCTATTTCTCTTGTAACTCATCTTTCTGTTCTCTGTCACTCTCTATTCTTCACGCTTGCCCTGTGTCCTCCAGAATCTTTGGTTGGACAGGATTCTCTTTTGGATGGGCCGCTTCTCTCCCACCCCTCCACTGGGGGTCTAATACTGGCCTCATCCCCCTCATCTCTCCCTACACCATCTATGGACCAGTTTACTACTACTGCTTTGAGTAGTGGACAGTTCCACCAGGGTAAGAAACATATGCACACTCACCTCATTGCATGTCGTATATGTAACAAGCCATAGGTTGTGAGTTTTGTTTTGTATATCCACTGGGGGACTAATACTGGCCTCATCCCCCTCATCTCTCCCTACACCATCTATGGACCAGTTTACTACTACTGCTTTGAGTAGTGGACAGTTCCACCAGGGTAAGAAACATATGCACACTCACCTCATTGCATGTCGTATATGTAACAAGCCATAGGTTGTGAGTTTTGTTTTGTATATTTGGCTTATCCACTCGTCTGGGGATAACACTAATAGCTATGCAAGGTTGATTTTACACATTGCGTCAAAACACACTTGTGTTTTGTGTCATTCTGAGGCGTTTACTCCAGCTCTAAACAATAGAGCATGGCGCTAAAAACATCAACGTCACTGGTTTAATTTCCAGGGAACTAATACAATGTAAACATGCTAGCTGCATTGGATAAAAGTCTCTGCCAAATGCATAGAGTTTCTATAGTAGACATTAGTGTAAACAGTCTTCTTCCAAGGTCAGTTCAACTACTGTCATGACTGGGCAACAGAAAATGTTATATATTGTATTGTATATTAGGTATATTGTAGATTTTTTTTTCCTTCCCAGCAATGGTACATTGAAATGATAAAAATGTACACCAAAATATCAAGCAGCACGACTGCTTTCAACATTTATAATCTTAAGAAATTTAATTTCTGAAGGATTATAATAACCATATTAGAATAATATAATCTTAATTTATGTATTACTTATATTAGTGCTTTATAATTAACATATCATACAACTATAGCTATGGCTATTAACATACCCTGAAAGTTACCTCCGTTTTTGGAACCGAAAGCTGAGTAAATCCGCTTATTACCCTTAAACGTAACTGGGCATGTCACATAACCTGCTTTCTGGAATACCCCCCTGACCAGCAACGTCAAACATAGAAACATAGAAGCATTTGATGTTTTAATGTACAGATAGTGTAGCATGCTTTTCGACCAGTGAGATTTCATAATGGGTTTCAAAACACAGCAGCAGAAATAGAAACCAATTTGAATCAAGAAAAGGTTTTAGATTTTGGGTAAATAAATGAAATAAGCCAACATGCTGAGTCAAATGGTGAAGATGGTTTGTGCTCTGTGCTCAGAATAGGGCTTGACAAATGAAGCACTCCATGTTTCTGAAAGTCTCTTGACGCTCATTTAGGATGTTACTTACATTACCCACCTGCTCTTGCTTATCTATACTCGTCACTTTCCTTTTCCCCTCTCTTAAACTTTCTTCCTAATCTCTTTCTATGTTGTTTTCTCTCTGCCGGTCTAACCTCTTGCTGCAGCCTCTGATCCAGCTCACCAGGCTCTCTCAGGCTTCCAGTCCTCTGAGACTGGGGACCAAAGCTCCAATAACCAGTTTGACCCAATTCCAGTGCTTATCTCCAAAAGCTCCAGCCAAGGTAAGGGAGTTCAGATAACAGCAAAAGTTTCTGGAAGAGAGCACATGCATCTAATTCACCCCGAAGTGTAGAAGTATGGTTGCAGATTTATCAAACAGAAAGTGGTTTTGTACCGTTAGACACTTTGACGTTATTAAACCTGGATTGGAGTAGTGCAGCAGAATAGGAAACACTTTTTTTTGCATCACAAGCTGTTTTTACTCTGTCTTACAAAAAATATTTCACCCCAAAATCAAAAAAGAAAAGGCAATTATGTTTTGCATTGTGATTTTTATTTTGGCAAATTCTTAGTACCGTAAAGTCTTTTTATTGTTGTAATGATTTTTGTTTTGTTTTTTTGGTGTAGTGATCTTTTTACCCATTATTGTCAGTGGTTATTCCCATTAAAAAGAGATTCTGATAAAATAATTTTAACATGAATTCATTTATTTTTGTTTATATATTTATTGTATGTACAGTTTGGGGTCAATAAGAGTTTTTTAAAATGAATACGTTTAATCAGCAAAGATACATTCAATTAGGGCTGCACGATATTGGAAAAAACTCACATTGCGATATTTTATTTTTCTGCGATATATATTGCGATATGAAAACAAAAATCACCACATGACTTGAATAGTTTATTTAGGGAAAAAAAAAAATCAATGATTGGTGTGATTTTGTAGGCGAGTAAATCAGCATAGGAAATAAACAAATTACAAGCATAGATAAATAACAGAACAAAGATACAAATGAAATGCAACCGTGACCTGCTCTCTCCACGATGACGCAGAAGTGTCAACAAAGGATAAATGGATTTCCAGCACTGAAAATGTATTTAAAATGGATATCTCTGTACAGCTGTCGCGTCCGGTGTAGACACCGTGTCTGTGTGTGAGCAAAGAAAACAATCAGTACAAATATAACAATCAGTAGCCCATACTAAACATTGCACATCCTGCGATGTGACTATCGCGGATGCACATATCGCGATATCGATGCTGACATGTTAAATATATGTAAATGTTAAATTTTAAAATGTTTAAAATTCATCAAAAATCCTGAAAAAAATTATACCAGAGTTTGATCAAATAAAACATTAAAAATAATAAGAAGAAGAATTTCAAAAACATTAAAAAAAAATCTCACTGTCCCCAAACGTTTGACAGTAGTGTAATGGGAGTTTGAGTTTTGAGTTGAGTTTTTTTTTTCTTCTTTTGATTTTGGGTTGAAGTACAACTTGGCTTTTTATCCATAAAATATTAAAGTAAGTGGGAGTCATGCACAACAAAAATAATATATTAAATTAAAATGTAAACTATGACCTTAAAGTAGCATTACAGTGAACATAATTTATCCTTAAGACTTTAAGCTTTTTGGGGCTTTTGTTTTTCTTTCTTGCCATGCTATTTAAAATATTCCGCTATTCCCACACATAATCCTTACTTTGATGCTGCTCTGTTATCTTTTAGCGTTTTATGCTTTCTCTTTCCTGCTATTCATCTGGTTTTTGCTTTTTCTCTTTCCTCTTTTCTTTTCTTTTCTTTTCTTTTCTCACCCCTCATCCCTCACTCACCCTTCGTCAACATCTTCTTTTCGTCCTCATTCTTTCCCACACTTCTCATTTCTCACCTCCTTTCTCTCTTTCTCTCTCCCTCACTCTTTCTCTTTTCCTCTTTCCGTCATGTTCTAGGTGGTCACTCGCGCAGCAACAGTGGCAGTTCTGAGACCAGTCTGCCCTCGCTGGCACGCTCCCTTCTGCTGGTGGACCAACTCATCGACTTGTAGAGGAAACAGAGAGAGAGAGAGGCAGATGAATAGAGAGACAGGGAGAGGGCAGCGTGCAATTCTTACAAATATAGCGAGAGCTTAAAAACCTCGATCTGAAGTAGTCCCATAAACCCTGTCCATCCTTGCGCACATTTCCCTTTGACATTCTTTTCACATTTGCTGTATGTCTTTCTTCTGCTGATCCATAAACATTCTCATCACTCTATCATTGATTTATGCTTCAGGATGTCAAAACATGGCAACCAGTGACTATTTATCTCAACTAGGAGTGATATCAAGCCAAAAGTCAAAATTCAATTGATTACCGTTCTTTATAAAACGGATAGTTCCGGTCCTTGATTCTGATTGGTTGAGCCATTCGAAGCTGTTGTAAATTACTCTACAAACATACACCTTTGTTTACTTTGTATGTTGCTCGGCAACCACTTTGTTGGAACCACAACCGTTTCTGAGGAACTACATTGTTTGGCTGAAGAATACGGTTTTTATTAATATCATTACACTTTATTTGCTCTGTTTTATTCTGTGAAACCTTACTACGTATATGGAATAACCGTTTTATAAAAGCAATAAGCCCCGTGAAGCCGTGGTTTACAGTGAATTTATAACAGCTAAGGGGCGTTGCTTCGCGTTGTGCCTAATAACACCCCCTAGCTGTTATAAATTCACTGTAAACCACAGCTTCACAGGGCTTATTGCTTAATTAAAGACAACATGAAATTCTTTATCTTCGGTCATGTGGCGTTTCAAAATAAAACTGACTATTCAATGAAACTTAATGCAGCAAGGGATTTGATTTAATCCACTTCAGTTCAAAAGTTTGAGGTTGGTAAGATATTTCGAAATGTTTTCGAAAGAAGTTTCTGATGTTCACCAAGGCTACATTCGTTTGATAAAAATAACGTAAAAACTTATTTGGAATTTCAAATTATACATAAACTACAGCAAACCCAGCGTGATTCAAAAATTTATCAATATTTGTGAGAAATTTGATTTGTTTAGGATTACTTTGATGAATCGAACGTTCAAAAGAACAATTTGTTTGAAATAGATTATTTATTTTTTTTGGTTGCATCAATTTCTTTACTGTCATTTTTGATCAATTAATTGCATCCTTGCTGAATAAAAGTATTGATTACATTCAAAAAAATAATAACCTTACTGACCCCAAACTTTTGAATGATACTGCAAACTTGTGTTAGGTCTTTTGTTAAGACATTGCAGGTGTGTTATTAGTAACAAACCACAGTCTTTAAAAAGCTGATAGCTACCTTAAAATGCCTGTGCCATTAAAACAGAAATGGAGCCTTGCTAGAAGTGTTAGCGTTCACATACTTGTATGTGTTGGTCCTTAAAAGTTGTAGAGTGAAAATTTTCTCACCCACATTATTAGATTTAGTTTATCCTGCAAAGTAGACATCATCACCAGTCAAACACATGAACTGCTGTAAATAAACACCTGTCGAGGCGTTTTCCTTTGCAGCTGTTAGAATCTGCCACAGCTGTATTCATCATTTCATTCTTTCATCCCATCATTTATTTTTCAGTCATTCTGTCTCTTCTGCTTCATTCATTTCTTCTTTTACTCGTTCATTTATACCCCATGCTTCTTTTTTCTTTGCTTTTTGCGATGTCTGACAGTTATTGTGCGCTGTATTCTGCCTGTGTGTTTCTGCTCTGGGCCTGTCATGTGAAGGCTGTTTTGGATAAACTTGAATATACAGATAGCGACTATCAGAGTTCTGCAGTTTTGAAAAGATTAAGTGATTCAATAACATTTCATGTATCAAGCTTGAAATGATAAATGTAAATATAAGCTGTTCCAAAACCTCATGAGCTGTGCCTGTAGGCTGCATTTAAGGCATTATTTATTTTTAGCCAATACGAACCTCTATTTTTAAATCTTAACCTCTTAAGGTTTCAATTAATAGCAGATACGTGTTTGTAAGTTAACTGTGTTTAGACTGAGCCTATGAAGGACTGCTCTTCCTGAGGTCTCGTCTACCATGTGACGTTTACCAGAAATAAGAGATTCATATAAAACAATGATTCGTTCTCGAGTTACTGCCGGAAAAGAACTAGTTGTCGACCAATCTGTGTTAATCAACACGCAATACAGATTTTTGGGAAAGTGTAAAGTTGGCTTGGAAAAGTCATGGATATTGCAGCAATGAATATAATTTATCCTAGTTATGTTTAACTACTACTTCATCTATTTTGAGTAATGTGATTCTGATTTGTTCAACTGAATCAGTTCTTTTGTGTTCAAACTGGTGTGTTTCCCAAAAGCATCATTAGCCAACTATGGTTGCTAGTTAACAGTTTCCTAAAACCGTATTGTAGTTCCAAAGAATATTCTTTGCATTGTACATTTTTGTAGTTGCAACTACAGCTCGAATAAATCATCAAATGAAGCAAGACAGAAAACAAAAATAGTCAAATAGTCCTCAGGTGCCACGTTCGTTATGGCGGTATTTCTGAGAAATTACGAAGTGGAGAAAACTGCTGACCGAATAGCAGCATGTATTAGAATAAAGCGTGCACCAATTAGATACTGCATGTAAATGTGATTAAAAAAGGAATGGCTTTCTGTTGTTTTGTGTAAATTAACTATAATAAAACGACACCAATTGAATCAATTAATTAGCAGAAGATACTACTGTGCATGAAGTCATTAACGACAGTCCTATACTGTAGAACAAACATGGTTCAAACGACAGAGGTGCGAACATGTTACTACTGTTTTAGGAAACAGTTGCGACTAGCTAGTTAATTTCTCCAATGATGCGGTAGTAAATCAGCAAATGTTTTGTGGGAAGCGCAAAAAAAAAAATTTGTGGGAATTTTTTAGTAATCACAAATTACTTGAAATGTTATGGAAAAGTGCTAGAAATTCATTGACAAAATAAAAATCTGACAACAGAAATGGCTTATTATCCTTCAAGTTAACTTATTTGTTAATCGGCTGAGCGGGTATAGTTAAATATTTCAAAACGGTGAAATATTGCTTTTATATATCAGTCTATCACTATCCTAAAGCTGATTTTACACTGCTGTGTAGACACGGAGTACGTTTACATGGACAACAATAATTCGATTTTAACACGATTAAGACAATACTCTGATTAAGAATCTACCATGTAAACAGAGATTTTTGATTACCTTAATCCGGCTAAAGTCATAATCGAAGTAAACAGAAATCGAATTAAGACATGTGGAGTATTCCTATCTATCGCATTACTGAAGTGCAGTATAGACATGTACACACCTTAATCACATTATTACCGTCGTATAGGACTTTTCTCCGCATTTTGCGACATGCACACGGCAGTGCTCAACCGTTTGACGGCAAACAAAAGAGCTTGGCTTCAACAACGCCGTCATCTGTTTGCACGTATAGCATGACAAATAATTAACTGCATTTGAAGCTTTCAGTAAATTAAAAATGAAACATTCAAAACTGTACATGGCATCATCACGAAGGCGAACTATATGTTTATACGTGAAATTGTAGAGGGGACGTCGGATGGCGTCACGTGGGGATGTAATGACGTGTGCCATTAATCGATGTACTATAACATGTAAAACGGGAACATGAAAGGAATATTCTAAAAGCAACTCATGTAAACACCTTAATCATAATATTATATATAATTAGATTACTGATGTCCATGTAAACGTACTCACTGACTCTTGACGAATCTCTGCAAAGACACATTTATCATCATATCAAATATAAAACCATACAGAGCTCAATATAAAAAAATATGTCTTTCTGTACTATATGTACTGTATGATGTTTGGATTTTCATAATTAGATGTGTGGAAGCTGTAATAAAACAGAATAATTTTTTTTTGCGATGTAACTGCTTATAGGGTTTACATTGTTTTATTTTGAGTCATTGTTTTGTTTGAAGCTTGTGCAAATGTTGCATCGGTAGAACATTGTTCTGTAATATTACTACCCGATCTCATGAGAAAATATAACTATTTTACGTAATACGTTTGTCGTAAACTTGCAATTTTTAGAAAAAATCATAAGCGTGAGGGTCCACCCTAAACCTAACCATGAGTGGGACGTAAGCAAATTGTTCGAAAATGTACGAATGCGGTTGTACAAATTCATACAAATTAGCCACCATTTCATAGTTATGAATTGTCGTGAGATTGAACGTTTTCTGTGTTATCAAATCCTTAATATCTTTTTTTCTATTTCCTCTTCCTCCCTTTGCTTGTTTTAATGTGGCTGACCTATGCAATCTGACTGTAGTGCTCATGTTACTCTTAGATATGCACTTAGCGGTGTGGCTAAGTAGTCTGACGTCTGTCTTGTGTTGTAGTGTGTATTAGAGCCCATGTCAGGAGAAAATAATGACAACAACAAAAAAGTCTTATCTATACTGGAATGCCATGGTTTTATCCATTTTTTCGTATGTTATCGAGCGCCGAATTCTTTCTGTTTTTATGCGACAGTGAAAATTCTGAAAAGAAGGATATTAAATAAAAGTGTAGATGGGAACAGATAGTTGTGTCCTAGTCTGTGTTGTATGTGCCACATTCAAATGCAGTGACTTTAACAGAGATTTTCGCTTAACTTCCATTACACTACAGCTCAAAATGTTGGGTCAGTAGGATTAAAAAATAAATAAATAGATTATAAATTAATACTTTTATTGAGCAGGGATGCAATAAATTGATCAAAAGTAACCGTAAAGACATTTAATGTCACTTTTTATCCAAGTCTTTTGAAAAAAAAAATTGTTTTCAAATTACATTTCTAAATATATTAAAATTGAAAGTTGTTTTAATTGTAATAATATTTCACAATATTACTGTTTTACTGTATTTGTAATCAAATAAATGCAGTCCTGGTGAGCTTAAGAGACTCTTTTTTTTAAAGCATCTCTTTAAAAACAAACAAAAATCTTACTGACTGTACACTTTTGAACGTTAGTGTATATTGCACATTTCTAACAGCTCACTGACATATTAATAGACTCCTGCATTATGACTTCGGTGAATAGCGTGTTGGCAGTTTGGAGGAGACTGATGGGCAATAACATGGTAATGATTTTCAGTTTATCATGCACAAGTACGTGTTCAGTAGCACAGGTGTTAAAGCTTTAGGTTTAGTGGCATTTCTCATATATTGCACAGTTTCTGCTAAACTTTGCATCCCGCCTCATGAGTGCTATTGAGTATATATTTGCAAACAAAAGCACATTTTACACAGATAATCTGTGCAGTGTGTTAGGATGTTGTTAGCACTGTTTTAACTAAATCTTAGTGCGCTGCTGTATTAATCCTGAATTTAATGCCACCCATTTCCTTCATCCTGAAGGTAAGACTTACATCACGTCTCTGCTCTGATCTCAGTTCAGTCATTGTGTTTTCTGTAACCTCCTTGTTTCCATGGCTTTCGACGCTTATTAGGGTCAGCTGTCTATTGCTAGCGCAACTTTCAGAAATTCACATCAAAACTAAATGGAAGTGGGATCACAAAAGACAAATGCGGGGCTGTCAATTTACATATTATTCATATAATATTAATATTATTAATCACATTAAAACTTGCCTATGAAATTGACAGCCTTCGGGAAACAGGGAGTAGCTCTTCCTGTCAATTTATTTGTTTATGAACCATTAGACTTCTGTGTTTGGTTTATTGAAGGGCTAATAGTGACCGTTTTTGGAAACAAGGTTTGTGTTTGCAGTGGTAGCTGTCATAGACGTTGACTGTTCGTGGTATCAGTCAGTAGTACTGTATTTCTGGGGTTTATACTGTTGTAGAATGTGCTTTATTTGTGCTGTATTGCTTCATTGTGTAGCCATCTTGTGTAAATGAATGTTTAATCATTAGTCTTTTCCCAATTTTATTCACTTGTTTGCCCAAAAATAATAAAATTCTGTCATTTACTCACTCTCATGTTATAAACCTGTATGACTTTTTCATCTGTGGGACATTTTGAGAAATGCCTTTTTCCATTCAGTGGAAGTCAGTGGCCACCAAAACTGTTTGGTTGCCAACGTTCTTCAAAATATCCTTTGTCTTCCACCAAAGAAAGTCATACAGGTTCATTTTTTTTGGTTGGACTATCCTGTTTAAATCATTTTAAACATACAGCTCCTCCCTCATCTTAAAGGATAGTTCAGCCAAGAAAACAAAACAAAAAAATAAATTCTGTCATCATGTGATACCATAATATTGTTCCAAACCTGTCTGACGTTGTGGAACACAAAAGGAGAAATTTTGAGCAATATGCTTTTTTTTTTTTCCTCCCTCACTGAATTACAATGAATGGATTGTGGAGCTTTCAAGCTTCACAACACAGAAGCACCATAAAAATGATTCATAACTATATTCTAAAGTCATATGATCGCTTCTTATGATGAAGAGACTTGATAATCATCTCAATGGGCTCCTAATTTGTGATTTGAATGAGGGAGAGGAACTTAAGAACCAGATATGATTTGTGATATATCTTATCATATTTCTCAAAAAAAATGGTCTGCATGAATCATTATGCAGACCATTTTTTTTGAGAACTGGATCGGCCAATTGAAAAGATATGAATCAAAAGGGTGATTAACTTCTCAACATCTCTCCTGAACTTCATCTCCCTATAGTATCCATGTTGGATGTCCAGATTTTCAGGGAATAATTACTTAAATTTGGCTTAAACAGTCAAATAGCGTCCACAGTGACTGTATAGCTTCAGTGAACTTGCTTCCTTTTTGAAGCTTGAATGCTCCAGTTCAAATGTATTATAATTTTTACAGAAAAAACTCAAATTAAATTCATAATGAATTCATAATTCCTCCTTTTGAGTTCAGCGGGAGTAAGAAAGTCATACAGATGAGTAAATGATGACAGAATATTAATTTTGGGGTGAGCCATTCTGTAGAAGAAGCACAGTAATGTTGCAACAATTGTCCCAATACAGGCTGCAACAATAGACGATTCTGGTTATTCCCACTTTTTTTCTTCTTCTTTTTTTTCCATTCTGTAGATTTATAGAATGACACAATTTTTAGTTTTGGAAATATTTTGGTCACTATCATTGATTGTTCCTGCTATTGAATTCATACTGTAGCGTAGGGCTGGGTAAAAAAAAAAAATCAATATCTCGATTTTAATCGATGCTCATTCTTAAATCCCAAGAATCGATTAGTCTAGCCTGATTTCATTTAATGGACGGAACGTTGAAGGGCACTTCCCATCCAATAAATCGCAATAAGCATTGTGCTTTGGTACTTTTAATATGAAACAAAGTCTCAGATTTCATATTATGTTTATTGTATTGTAGTATTCAAACAATAAATGCCGTTTTGGCGCTGTTTAATGTGGAGTGACAGATCGCTGTAGCGCCAGGCGCACGTGAACTGATCATCTCCTCCACAATAATACCATTTTCAGCACAAAATAAACATGACTAAACATCCGAAGGCAAGTTAAAAGAAAGAGTACAACTTTACAATCCGTATCCTGTCTCATGTAATTGCTCAATCTGTGTTTCAGCCGCGCAAAGACGTCAATATAACTGCTTGTAAACAATGTCACGTAACGTCACATTTACCTCAGAAAAACATATTCGGTGACCATAAACTCATTAGTAAGCTGGAAAAATAAACTGTAGAGAGGGGCATTTTGCTAAATGTATGCAGCATATAATATTATGTTCTTCAATGTTTAATTTATATTTTTATGACAGCCAAATGTTTATATTAAACAAATGAATTGAAGTAGAAATATTATTATGTAGGCCTAATTGTAACTTTTTATTATTAAAAACTTCATTAAGTGTAATTTAAACAGTTGTATAGCCTAAAAAATTAGTCTGTTATAACCTTAAATATTATAGTAATGTAGTAGGCTAGCCTGCTATATAACTATATTTTACAGCAGTAGTTAAGAGAATTTTTATTTCCTTGAGAAAATTTGGCATGTGTACCTGATATATATCCAAAATAATCGATATTGAATCGAATTAGGAATTGAATCGAATCGCAAGCTTGTGAATGAGTATCGAATTGAATCGTGAAATTTGTGTCAAAACCCAGCCCTACTGTAGCGTATTGGTGAAAATGTCATAGTCTCTAACTATGAATTCCCTTTCTACGGTTTTCTGTTTTGCAGAAGCCAGAAGCAAGAGTGATGGATATGGATCGCATTCAGAGGGAGGTGACCTCGAGAACCCTGTGGAGGAGGGCTGTCTTCATTCCAGCGATGAAGACGATGGAGAACAAGAAGGGGGGAGGTCACAGGTGAGCGGCGAAGAAACGCCAAGTCTGGACTGCAGTGGCTCCAGACCGTTACTTCAAGACTCGGATGACGATGACGACCAAAGTCCTGCGTCTTCCAGAAACCTCCAGATGTCTTCCCAATCCGAGGAACCAGTTGAAAACCAGTCCTCGCTGGTTTCTCAGAGCCACTCGCCACAGCTGGTGTCACAAGCCCAACATGCAAACACAGATGCAAGCGTCGACTTCTTTTCCAAAGCTCCGTTTCGAATCGGACAAGACCTAGACGGCGACGGGGATGTGTTCGACAATGCACCGTTTCCTCGTCTTCCAGCTCAGCCTCGACAGCCTGATATTTTCCTCCAGGCGCCCTTTGGTAGGAAGAAGGAAGCTTCTGGAAAGGTTTACAGCAATCCGGCGGCCCAGCCGAGATTTTCTTCCCTTGACCAGAGCATCCTCGGCCAAGTGACCCCTCTGGCCTTTCGCCCCCAGGCACTTTCTAAGTATTCCAGACACTACGAAGGACCTGTGAACACAGACCCTGAACACAGACCGAGCGCTGTGACTTCTGATGGGACTTCCACTGACCCCTTCGTCTCGGCGCCCTTCCACCTTAAAGGCCGTCAAGATAAACGCTGAGAGAACAGCGTATGTGAAACCGCACCGTACTACTTTTGCCCCCTAAAAGATTCGAGCTTAACATAATAAAATGCTGTATACCGAGTGTAATTTATTCAAGAATGAAG